ACACACACACACACACACACACACACACACACACACACACACACACACTAGTTTTGAAAAGCCAGACTTTGAAGTCTTCATACAATTCACAATTTCTACATAAGAGTTCCTTCTGAGCTCAAGCTCCCGTACCGATGCCTGGGCCAGTTCCTGGTCCTGGGAGAGAGAGGGAGAGCAGTCATCAAGGGTGTGGAGAGCTGGCACAGCAGGCTTTGGGCAGTATGTATGAGGTAAGGGCCTTGAGCATCCCTATCCTCTGCCTATGGGGCTCTTCAAAGAGATAGTTCACAATGGTGGGTAGACTATGTGCGTGATAACGGGGGGCAGCAATGGTTCCTTTCTTGAGAAGCTCAAGTTTACATTGAGAACACAGCTGTCTCTGGTGGAGGCAGGTCTCCCTTGTTTGGCTAACAGTCTTCCACAAGCCCTAAGATGTTATGAAAATGTAATGTCGAAGTGAGGTTAAGTAAGTACCCTGTGGCACTGAAAGAGCAGAGACGACCCCTCACAGATCACACAGACCTTCCCAAGAGGTGCCTGGCTTGACGTGACTTAGGAGATAACAGAGGAAGTGAGAGTGATACTGATGGGGAAAAAAAGGCTGCTTAGCTAAGATCTGAAGGAGAGGTCTGGAGATGGAAATGAACCTGACATGCTGCAGGACCAAAAGGAGCGGCTCCACTTGGAGGACATCTTATGCTAGGCAGTGTGAAAGAAGGCCTATAATCCCAGCACTCAGGAGGCAGAAGCAAGGAGATTTTTGAGTTCAAGGCCAGCCTGTTCTACACAGAGAAACCAGTCTCAAAAACAAAACAAAAGCAAAACACACAACAGGAGACATCTTACAAAGGTAACTGCAAGTCATTACAGCATTTCTAATGTAAGAATGGTGACTTAGGCCTCCCAAGTGGGACAGCAGGCAAGTGCAATGAGGTCTGTCAGGAGGACTCTGTTCTCTAACAGGTACAGGATGGACTAAGGGGACCACAGGATGCAGAATAGTTGATAAAACTAAGATATGCTTTTGGGGTGTGAAGCATCTGAGGGAAAGAGTACCAACATCATGGATAAAGGGTTTGAGGATGGGCTGAGAAGCAATGTTTGAAAGTCATCAGGAATAGAAGCCAAGGGCACAGAGAAAGCCAAACAAAAAAGGCCTGAGAAGAGGACCCTTATACAAATATCTACTGTCATCTGCTCTCACCTGAACCCTCAGCAGTCAGGACATAGGACTCCTGAGTGTCCTGGGGGACACTGGAGAGGCTAGCCCTGGAAGCATCCGGCTTCTCTGGAGAGCAGCCAGGCTGCACCTCGGCTTGATAGCATGGAGCCTGCTCCTTTTCCCGGGTTGTCCCCAGACTCCAGTGGAGTCGGGGGACGTCCAAGCCCAGTGTCCCACCCCAGGGGCTCTGGCTTTGCATCCCTTGGCAGTCTTGGGGTAAGCCCAAGTCACAGTCTACATCCTCTGGAATAATGGGGATGCGCTGGCTCAGGTCCCGGGCCCCTGCATAGCAGCTGGGTGGGGGTTCCTCGGTGAGTGTGTACTGCACACTCACCGCATAGTCCTCAGTATAGCAGCCACTGCCTCTGCCAGCACTGTGGGCCACCTGCTTTTCTTCATAGAAGCAGCAGGGCAGGCCCTCATATTTCACCCCATCTGTCCTGGGAAAATGGTCTGAGTGAAGGCCATACAGGCCCTGGGAGCTCCCTGGTTGTGGCTCCCCACTTGTAGGGTTGCAGTCCTCAAGAAGCCGGGGACCGAGGAATAAGGTGCTACCACCTGCTGTTGTTCCTGTCCCAGAGCCCAGGGTGGAAGGCTGGGGCTCAAAGCAGCAAGCACATGATGGTCCCTCTGGGGCCCCTTTCCATGTCCTCCTGAGGTCCACAGTGGCCCCAGGAGAAACCTCGAGCCCCACTTCTGAGGTAGAGCCGTTGGGCCCTCTGGGTTCTAGCGAGGAGTTGCTGCTGTAGTTCATCTCCAGGCTGCAGGTGGACAGCTGGTCCCCTGAGGGAGAGGCAGGGCCTAGCCATGGCCCAGCACCTTGACTGTGTGCTGCTGGGAGCTCTTCTGGTGGTGGGGAGCCCTCAAGATGCACAGCAGGCCCCCGGCTGCGGTAGATGAAGGGGTCATAGTCGCTGCTGAGGGAACTGCGGAAGGTGGAGCAGCTCCCATACACACCTTGGTTGCTGACTTCTGTGCAATCCACTACAGAATCACTGGAAGAGCAGCGGCACTGGCCAGAGCTATTGCTGCTGCTATCACTGCCAGGACAGTCAGCCAGGTAGCCACTACACACAGAACGGTGACCATGGTAGCAGCTGAAGCTGGAGGTGCTGCCACTCTCTACGTGGGCAGGAGGGGCCATGTGCACCACGGTGGGGAAGAGCAGGCTGCTGCCACCACTTGGTGGGAAGGCACGGGATTGGCCCCTGGGTGTGAGGCTGGGTACTGGCTGGCCCTCTTGCTCTGGGTAGCTGAGACCCTGGAAGTAGTAGTGTTGGTACATGGTCTCATACTGGGAGAAACAAGCTGCCTTGGAGAAGCTGCGGCTGCTGAACTTGGGCCTGCGGAAGGGATGGGCTGGTGAGTAGGCCCGGTGTTCCAGGCTGCAGCGGTGAGGGGCCAGAGTGTGGTCCAGGTGTAGGGGTGGGTAGCCACGGATGTAGGTGGGAGTCTGTGGAGAATACAGGCTCTGTTCCCCATGCCGGTCCATGGTCAGAAGGGTGACAGGGTTGCCATGGGAGTCCATACTTGTCCTGGTAGGGTAGGCTGGAATGGCATTGGTCCTATGCACACGGCCTGGGTAATGTACTGGTAGGGTCACTCTTGGCTGTCGACCACGTGTGAGGTTGCCAGTCTCTACACAAACAGCACCTGGATTCCCCTTTTGTTCTGGAAGAGGTGGAGGAAACACAGTAATGGGGCAGGGATTGAAGCATCAAGTGTAGCTATGTGCCAGGGAAGTCTATTCTTGACCCTGCTACACTGTAAGCTGTCTCCAAGCTCAGCTGAGCTGGCAAAAGCTAATTTGTCTCTTATTTGTTCCCCCTCCATACAGAGTCCTCAGAGGGCAAAACAAATATAAAGATGAGAGTGACTCCCACCCTGTAATGATGACGTGAGTGCAGCTATCAGCACTGCTATTGCACAGCCATCATATCAGCTACACGGAGAAAGAGCAAGGGTGTCCACAGTGTGAGGGAAAACCCTGTAGTTAGGCCTGGAAAGTCAATTGTTACTGTCATCTGTTAAAGTGACAGGGGTCTTCGGCCTAAGGAGGCCAGGTCAGGACACTGGGGTTTGTTGTTTATATTTTCTTCAGACTTGTACCCCAGCCTAGTTTCCAATTTGTTATGAAGCTAAAGATGGCCTTCAACTCCTGCCTCTACTTCCCAAGTGCTGGGTATACAGATGTACATCAGCATACTCAGGTAGGATCCTATTTAACTGGAAACTCAAACTTGAACACAAGGTGATTTTCTTTAGAGGTGGGGGAGTACTGGGAGCCAAACCTAGGGCCTTGCACATGCTAGGCAAATAGTCTACTCCCAAGCCACATCACTTGCTGCTCAAAGTGATCCTTAAGGACAGGCTCTGCTTAGAGTTGTGCAGCCAACTTCCAAACTCTATGGCCCACAGCTGCAGGTCCAGAAGACCAGGCTGTGTTCTCTAAGCTTGTTCATGAACATACAGCATGCCACACAGACTCTGTACGGACAGGGTCCTCCAAGACCTGTAATAATTACCTATGATATTGTGCCGACAGTGGGGACAGGTGTGGTGCTGCAGCAGCCATGGATCCACACACTTCCTGTGGAACCGATGGGTACAGGGGATAACCCGAAGCTCCTGTAAAGACAGAGAGGGAACACAGACTGAAGGATGGACTGGAGAGGGTACTACTGCCTTCAGCCTCACACATATGCCTCCTCCAACGGAGCCTGTAGCAGACAGAGTAACCCTGCGCTGGTGTCCCCTGCTGTAATACGGACCCTAAGTGACCCTAACTTGGCAGTACCAGGGAGGGGAGCCTACTGGGACCTAGTTTTCTTTCTCCCTCTTTTGGTATGCTCCTGGTAAGCAGTTTTAAAGATTTACTTATTTATTTATAAGCTGGATGATAATTTTATTAGACTTAAAGAGGAAACTCCCAGGCAGGCAAGCAGTGAATCTCAGCAGCTGCTCAGAGGAGAATGGAAGAAAGAAGGGTACTACGTCACTTGAGTCATGCTGGCAGAGAGGTCAGCTACATGGAAAAAGAGCAAGGATGTCTATAGTGTGAGGGAAAGCATGCATGGAAAAGAGAAGAAAAGTAGAAGGTACATTTTTCTGATCAATTCAGAGGCAGACTTACAAAGCAGCAAGGCTTCATTTGTAAGAGACTCCCTTAATTCTAACTTTTAACTATATATGTATTGCATGCTTGCAGAGGGTGGAAGGGGGTGCTGGAAACTGAGATGTTCTCTAAGAGAAGCATGTGCTCCTAACTGCTGAGGCACCTCTCCAGTCCTACCCATTACAAGTTCTTGTCATGATAGGCTGCCTCCCTATAAGCCTAAAGGATTGTAGTCAAGTTCGTGGGCTAAAACATCCAAAACTATGTGCTCAAACAAACCTTTGCCCTTTATCCATTTACTATAGCAGGTGTTTGCTATGGGAATGGAAAGTTAAGGCACTTCCCACTCTCTTTCCTAACTCCAGCTAAAGGTCAGTTTCATTCCTTGAAGTAGGGCCCATTGGGAGAAGGAAACTGCTCAATCCACCTGCCCCAATCACAGCCCTCAGGGTTAAAGGACAAGGAACACAAGGAAACAGGTTCCTTTCCCAGAGCTGAAGGTGGGGGTGGGGGTGAGGGTGGGCGCACATCTAAGTCCAAAGCCTCAGGCCATCTATATTGGTGTAGATCTGTGGTTCTCAGCCTGTGGGTCAATATCATCAAAAGATCATCAGGTAACACAAATATTTACATTACAATTCATAACAGTAGCAAAATTGTAGTTATGAAGTAGCAATGAAAAGTATTTTATGGCTGGGGGTCACCACAACATGAGAAACTCTATTAAAGGGTTGAGGAAGGTTGAGAACCACTGGACTGTAGACAGCTGGCTCTAGGTACCCTTGAATGAGGCCAAGTAGAAGAGAACACTTGATGGAGCCATCTGGTTTCTAAGGAAAGAAGCCTATTTGATAGAATATGACACCCTTTCCAGACCAAAGCATCCTCCTGACTTGTTCTTATTGCTTTGCTTTTATTTTCTCAGCAGCCTGACACAGTGATATTAATAACCACTGTGGTGCTTTAGAATGCCTGTATCTTCTCACCTAAATAGCCTTTGTGAGCATCTAGTATGCTGTTGGCATCACAAGTGCAAACACAGAATGAAGCCAGTTGCCAAGTAAGTTCACAAACCCAGAACCTGCCTGGGCTAGGTTAGAACCCAGGAGTCTGTACCCATAGTCCATGCAAGAGATCTTTCCAAGGGCCTGTGTGCAAACACACTTCCACCCAGCAATCTACACACTAGCAGGGTTGATCTCATCCAGGGACTGTCCAAGGCCTAGACTCTCAGGCAGTTTGCTCTCACTTTGTATGTACCTGTCCACATAGAGACAGATACAAAGGTAGCAAAATGCTAATGATGGTCATGGGTGCTTATGTGAATGGTCTACACTTTTCCTGGTACTTTTCTTGCAACTTTTAATAAAGAGCTACCAGTAAAAACACAGGCATCAAATCTCTTGACTTTTTCTAAGTAATCACATCACTTAACCACTCCTTCAAAGCAAAGCAAATAGCTTGTTCTTACATCTACATATTTTCTGTCCAACCATGTGTTTTTCTCCCCACCCCCTTTAGAGCCAGGACCTTAAATTTACAATCTTTTGATTAGACTCTCAAGTGCTAGAACTCCTGCATGTACTACCACCCTGGCCTATCATATACTTAGCTAGACCATCTATAGAATACTCTGTGTTCCCAGCCCCTAGGAGAAATGCCTTTAGAAGACTGCACATTGAATCAAGGTTGCAAGAAACTCTGGTCATGGTGGTCCCCAGCACGTCTCTGGGCTTGCAAACCCCTCCCCACTCCCACAAGACAGGCTCTGTTTCTGCCACTACCTCTCCATCAATGTACTTCTCCAGACAGATGGCACAGTCGGATGTGGAGCCGCTACTAAGTGTATCCAGAGCCCCGCAGCTTCCTTCCCGGCGACCCTTGCTCTTGGAGTTGAATTTTCTGGTTTCCATCTTCTCCAGAGCCTGCACAGCCAGCCTGTTCATGGAATTCTGCACGGCAGAGCATGGTCAGTGTTGGTACACAGTAACAGTGGCAGTCACACCCTGGGCTATGGCACTCAGGACATAAAACTAGTTTCACTCAGGCCAATCAATCAGATTCTTGAGAAAGAGCTCAAAACTCTTACTGCCACTCTATTTTCTAGATCTCAAGAACACCCGTGATATTGGTCCAACCTTTTCCCAAGTGACCCTACTCCAAAGTCTTGCCTTTAAGGTGAAAGGCAATTACCTGTCTCTGACACTTTGCTACTATGTAGGACGCTGGTTTTTAGAAGGCTCTACACCAAATGTCCCTCCTTGTTCAAGGAAGCTAGGGAAATGAGACAGCTCAGCATCTGACATACAGTGTGAGTGCATAAATACTAGCTTCTAATCCCTGTTCTTGCTGGTGATGGCCCTTCAACCCTCCTGACAACTGAAACTGTTCTCCTTTTGACAGTCATTATCTAAGGTACCTTCTCTCTCAAGGTGTCACATTACCAATACAACTCAAAGTCTAGATTCCTGATTGCCCTCTCACCACCCTCTGCCTGCAGGTCTTTCTCTCTAGTAAGCTGCAGTGATGGACTGGCTAGAGTACTATCTATGGCTACGTACTCATCAAGAATCAACAGAAGGGCCCAGCAGAAGCAAATTTCATCACAAGACCTAGGGGTCTGATAGTCTATATTTCTACCAACCCCAGATGTACTTGAGGAGCAAAGGTCTCACACTCCAAAGCAACATATATTTAAACATTTCCCTCAAAATACTAGCTTGGAACACCCCCAATGCTGAGGCCTTTGCAGGCCTGCCCTTTTCAACATGAGGGTTTGGTGCCTGAGGTCTGACATTCTCCAGGCCACTGAGAGAAGATAGGTGCCATGGACAGCAGGCTGCACAGACCCCTAACTTTCTCTTCTTTTTGTTTTTGTTTTTGTTTTGTTTTGTTTTGTTTTGTTTCTTCGAGACAGAGTTTCTCTGTATAACAGCCCTGGTTGTCCTGGAACTCATTATGTAGACCAAGCTGAGATTCACCTCCCTTTGACTCCCAAGTGCGGGGATTAGAGGCATGTGCCACAAACCCTGGGCCCCTAACTTTCATCAGCAACAGGGCAATGGGGTTCAAGGTTGCTCCTAGGGGTTACCTGACTACGACGCTGCTTCAGCTTGATTTTGACAAGGAGAATGAGGCAGACCAAGGAGACCACGACGAAGAAAGCCAGGAAAATCCCCATGTCAAAGTACTCAGTGGGTTGCTAGAATAGAACACAAATGCCATGAACCATGTTCTCTTTGGCCTGATTGTGGGCACATGGGCTATCAGTTCTGGCCAGGAAATAAATGGAGTAGACAAGTGAGGACAGGGTTTCTCTGTATGTAGGAAGCTTCTGGGTTCTGTTAACATTCACACAGTAATGGTGCCTTTAGTGTGGCCAGGATGGGAGTGGAGAAGCTACAGTGGCCTCAGGCCTCCTAGGAGCTGAGAGAGCCATTTGTAGAGTTCGGACTCCCATTATAACAGTGCAAAGTTCGGTATAACTAGTGAGAAAGGCCCCTCTGAATAAACACAAATAATCATAGTTATAGACAAAGGAGTGAGTGTTGTGTTTTGAGGCAACAATGATTACTAACCATATAATTAATGGTTTACAACAACTTAGAAAATTGTACGCTGCTTCAACAAAAATCAGCTTCCACTACAATGACTCATGTTTACCAAAGAGTTTCTTTTTCCTTTAACAAGAAGCCAGCAAGTCAGTTCTGCAAACTTCCCTTGTTTCTTTTCTTGGGGTTGGGTAGGGGGTTTGAGCATTTATTCTAGGCTAAAGATTCTCTATCTAGCTAAAGATGACTCTAAATTTCTTACTCTACAACCACTATCTTCTAAGTGCTGAGATCACAGTCGCACCACCACAGTGGTTTTATGCAGTGCTGAGGAATGAACCCCAGGCTTTGTGGATAATAGGCAAATCCTCTACCAACTGAGGTGTGCCTGACAGTCCTTATTTTTTCTGCACAGAACTCTGCCTTCTATCACCTGAAGCTGCTTCATCTAAGATGTGCATGCATTTAGTCAATAAGGACAGGACCCTAGTGAGATGTTGTGCTACCCAGATACTTGGTACAGGTGGGATCAGACTACACGGGATAAGTTCAGTAATTGTGAGGAGGAAAGAAAACATGTATGAGGCACCAGCCCCAGATTCCTAGAATGCATCAGTCTAAGGTTGAGGAGATGTCAGTCATGCATCAGCGGGCAGTAATATTGCTTCAGCACACTAAAGTCTGACTACTACTTGTCACCAACGAATGTCAGTCCCAGGCCTGAGCAATTCTTAATGTTCTTATTTGTGAATCAGGGAGTTTCAAGTGAGTAGTCTACCTGATTGAAAGAAGGAAGTACAGGCCTTTTTTCATCTCTAGGTCAGATGGAAGGAAGGAATCAAAGAAAGCCAAGTGCTGTGTCATCCCTTCATCTTTCTCAGCTTGACTCTCAGAAGGATGAACTGGAAAGGGGCAATGCCAGGTGGGAGAAACCAGAGACTTCATAGCAAACAATGTCTATTTCTGTAAGCTTTAACAAATTTTTACAAAGAAAGAAATATGAGCAAAGATCTCTCTGTTCTCCTGTCCCATAGCTGAGCTGAAACTGTAGGAACCTACCCTATACCAGCATTCTAGATACAGGGACAAGAGGGCTGAAAGCTTGGAGGAAACAAAGGCACTGAAGAATGGCAGACAAGTTGCCACTCACTCGAGGAGGAAGATGCTGGATCCTTGCTCGAGCCACTTTCTGTTTGTTGACAATGTTCATCAGCTTAATGGCATCTGCACCCTTCACATACACTACTGGCCTCTTCAGAGGGTCTTCTGAGCCTTGGTTTAGCTGACGAAGAAGAGCGGGGTATGGGTTAAAAGACATGCTTACTTTAAGAAACAAGAGAGGGTTTGGAATGTGGTTTGGTGGTAGAGTGCTTGTCTGGTACATGAAAGGTCTAGGTCTAGCTTTCATTCCCCACCCTCACCCTCCTCCCAGTCCCCCATCACTTCACCTTCCCAAATCCCCATCCCTGCCACATACACACAAAGAAGAAAAGAATATTAAATCCCCATTTGGGAATTCTTGAAGTCTTCAAGTATTACATAGCCCTCGGGTTTCCAGAAAAGTGAGGGTAGGGTGCTAGACTTGTTTTAAGATGGCTGAAATGTCCCTAACCCTAACCACCCCAACCCAGAACCAACTACTTTCTATATGCCTCTCTCAGGTATGATATTCAAACACAGAGAAGTACAAAGGATCTGAGACAAGGGTGTCACAGATAACCAAAGATAACCAAAGTACATGCCTCTTAGGTAGGCAGTAGGACTGGTTTTAGTGGCGGTTTACCTGGTCAATGGCTTCTGGGTTTTCAGATACATCAAAGATAACTGCAGTGGCTCCTCGTTGAACTGCTCTCTTGGCCTGGTGGATTGAAAAAAAGCAGGTTGGCAACTCTGTCCTCTGACCCTGCCAACATTGGCCTTATAAATCAGGCATGACTTCAGAATGCAGACCTGGATAGCAAACAATGTCTGTGCCCCCGAGCAAGTTGATCCTCTTCCCCAAGCCTCAGCATTCTCATCTGCGAAACAGGAGACACTGCCACCTACTTTGTCCTATCATCCTGAGAGCCTGGTGGCTTAGAATGGATGGAAATAAGTAAATGGCTGCTTCAGAAGCCTGTCTCCCCCTGTCAGGCAGAAACCTTAAAAACAAGCTACAGATGGGCAGCTTGCCCAGAGAGCACAGAGGTACTGGTTTTGGTATTTTCTGCTATAAACACACCACCCCTGGCAACCAGAGTAAATGCTTTGGTTTGTCTCTTGTGGTCCTTTCCCCTTCCCATGTCATCCAGTTAGGACAGCATACTGACTTTCTGAATGAATCTCAAAATGGTCACTTTTAACACGTGACACAAACTGAAGATCTTTGGAGACTTTGGGAAGAGGGGAGGTTATAAAAAAAAATAAGTGGGGATTTAGAGCAGTTGGCTGCCAAGCCTGGCTGTACATCAAAAACCAGTTGGGAAGTTTGTAAAGCAGATTTCCTGGCTCTACCAACAGACACTGGTTCAGTGGGGCTGGACACAGGCCCAGGAAGCTGAGTTCTGTAAGTTCTCAGGGACTCAGATGATCCTACCAGGTGGAAAACTAGAGGTCAGAGGAACAAGAAAAGAAGGCTTAGAAATAAATCAGAAGTGATAGAATTTTTTGTTGTTGTTGGGGTAGAGGAAAAGTAGGGGAGAAAAAAAGCCCTTTCCACTTCAGTGAACCTTCTAATTTTATCTCCAGCTAAGTGAACAACACAGTTGAGTCTGCAGAAGGAGGAGACTTGAGACAGACCCTTGCTTTTAGGACTTGAACTTTGTCTCTGGACAGACACTAAGAAAAAAAAAAAAAAAAAAAAAAGGTAGTGGGGGAAACAAAACAACTTCCAAAACCATCGTGCTGAAAGATGGGCAATTATTTTAGCCAGTGCTCAGAGGTCATGTCACTGTGGGCCTAAGTGTTTGAGAATAAATTCAAATTCTTTCCACAGAAATAATCTTTACTGACAGGTGCACAAACCTAAAGGGCACCAACAGACATGGCCAAAGACTCTACTGGACCACTAGAGGGCAGTGTCATGCCATTGCTTTTTGAGCTGGTCCCCTAAACTTGGGACCAGCAAGTTAAAATTTAGTGACATTGGGGATAAAGCATGTTCCCTGGAAGTTTAAGAACTCCTGGAATCATGGGTATAAGGCTGTAGAATTTTTCCTTGCCTTACAGGTAGCTTCCTTAAAAACAAACTGAGACTGAACAATCAGAAAGTCAGCTGAGGATCACCTCACTGTTTTACCCCTCTGTGATCACAAGTTACCAGTGGGCTGCTGTTGCTCTTTTTCTTCTAGTAGTGTCTTTTTCTTCTGGAGTCACACCCATGCTTTGCTCATGCTGAGCAAGTACTCTGAATCTCTTTCAGTCCCAGCCTCAGAACAAGAGGCCAAGATGGCATGACTGTTCTCTTCCACTCAGCTCCTTAGGGCAGCAGGCCTCTCTACCTGAAGCCACAGCTCAGAGACTAGAGTAGGTACTTATGTTTCTCCCCCCCAGTGGTACCTGAGCTTCTTCACAAATTCCACTCCCAGAGGAAGAAATAAACAGAGCCTCTCATTCTTTTCTTCTGCTTTCCTACAGGGATCCAGCATCTCACCCAGTACCTGTGGGGAGTGCTTGTTCCTCCAGCTTTGATGCTGGCGCACCTGGAGAGGCTGGCAGGGCTGCAAGTGCCTGGGTAGGAAATGCCTTCCTTGAATGTGCCTCGGGGAAACCACACAGCCAGAGGGCCTCCTTGGCTTCCCAGTATTTCTTGTTCCACAAGAACATGAATGTTCATTCGTTCCAGAGAAGTATGATCCTTTCAGGACAGAAAGCACAGAGCTGGGGGATGAACCCTGAGCCTCATCCATGCAGGTATGTGCTTTATTTTTGGGTTACATTCTCAGCCTCACAAAAGATGCTTTAAAATGTACCTGTTTTCATTGGTGAGGAAGGCAGGTAAAGAATAAATGGTTAAATCCCTCTACAGCCTAACTTCAGACACAACTCACTAATGAATGGAATCTAAGGACAAATACTGTGGCTGAGGAAATGTTTAATTTTCAGTGAATCACATTAAAATTATGTAATTACATTCATTGAGGCTAGAGATGTAATGCAGTTTAGGTAGAGTTGCCAACCATACACGAAACCTTAGCACTTTATAAAGTGATCCTCAGCCCTGCATAACATTAGGTATGGTGCCTGTAATTCCAGCATTTGTGTGGTAGAGGCAGAAGGACCCTAAAGTTCAAGGTCATCCCAGCAACAAAGAATTAGGACAGTTTGGACCATGTGAGACTGTTTGTTTGTTTGCTTGTTTTAATATATAATTACATGTATAATAGCCAGTCAGTGGTGCTACACACCTTTAATCCTAACATGCAGAGGGCAGAGGCAGGTGAATCTCTGATCTACCAAGAGAGTTCCAGGACAGCCAGAGCTACACAGAGAAACCCTGCCTCAAAACAAAACAAAACAAATTACATGTATAAGCTGCTACTGAAATAATTTGTACTTCCTGTACATATCAGGACTGGATGGGAGGTGATCCTGTTGTGATCTTGCTATTGAGAGATGGCTTTAGGAAAGACTGGGGTAACTGGGCTGTTCTCAGTGGTAAAATGCTTGCTAGCATACATTAAGCTTAAATTTGTTTAATCCTCAAGAAAAGGCCATGAGTAACCTTCAATAACAAAGAACGTTCATTATATTTTAAAAAGATAGAATATTTCTTGGTTATATGCTTTCCTCCTGCCTTACTATAATTAAAAAAAAAAAAAAACCCAAAAAACAACAACAAAAAACCCTGAGGAGTCAAGTTCTTCGAACAAAATCTTTTTTAAAAGATTCATTCATTCATTCATTCATTCATTCATTCATTCATTCATTCATTCA